AGAACAATCAGTATTGTTATTTACATGATAATTCTTACCAGGAATATTAGTACTACTAAATGTATTGCTTTCAATTATGGAGCTGCAATGTGTACATCTACTTCTATTACATTTGGATGGACATTTCACATTTTTGTTATTTAAGACCTAACATTAGAATTAACGAGAATGTCTTTTAGATTTATTGGTCTTTTAAATGCAACCAAAGGTTTACTTTCGTGAAGCTTTTGCACAGAACATTTACTTGAAAGTTGAAGTAAATCCCAATAATTTTTAATGATATTACTAATATTAGGTAAAGTTGAGTTATACTCAACAATGAAGGGAAATTAACACTGCCATCACTTGTTTTGTTGTTAGTGGACAGGGCCTCATCTTGTGTTAGACATGAAACCTTACTAAATACATTATCAATAACATTGATAGGATAATTTCTTTCTTTGAAGTACGAGGGGTTATCCAAAAATTCGTATGTACGTAAATTCTGTAAAGAATCGTTGAAATCATTATCACCAGAAATGATACGGCGATAACGTTTTCCTAGACTGTACGGAATACCATTTTTACAAGACACTGGGTGACAGGAAGAGTATTCTAAATACTGATGATTATCTGTCTCTTTAACATGTATATCAGTGTGTATAATATTGTTTTCCTCTAATAAAACATTTATATCTAAAATGTAATCTATTTTTTTTATCTACTGTCAAAGTCAATATATCAATATATGGTTGATATTTGTCTCTTGATATATCGATACAAAATTTTCCATCAATTACAGCTCTACATTTTATGTAGTAGATATAAGCCGAAAATGCCTGTACGAAATTTTCTGCACGGAAATGGGGCGGAATTCAAAGGCAGATTCCGCCCAGAAATTTAAATTCTCCCCCAAATATACAAGTGTTAAACCATTTGCTTTTGGCACGGATTCCGGCCGGATTCCAGGCGGAAATGGAACGGATTCTGGGCGGAATTGGGACGAAATATGCAAATGAGTTGGGGCGGAATTTTGAAGCGGAATCTTGGGGCGGAATTTTGAAGCGGAATCTTGGGGCGGAATTTCGGAGCGGAATTGTCAAACAAGATTCTGGGCGGAATTCTGGGACAGAATTCAGGGGGCGGAATTTTATGAGTTTAACATGATCACATATTTTAGGATAAAATTATCAATAATGTATCACATTAAATTTTCTTTTACAAAATTTAATAAAAAAAATATCATATCCTTTAGTCCAAATACAGAATAGAATACCCTACTTTCACTATAACACACAGTTTTTTTCTAGCTGCAGGTTTTGGAATCTTAGAATCCAACACTTTGTGGTTTTTTTTTGCAATTATTTTGCTGGAAGTGTTTCAATCATAAATTTGTTTCAAATGTTTCTGATTATTTAAATTACTATTTCTTTAATCCATGTCTGTTTCAAGTCCACTGCCTGTGTTTCCTAGAACTTCTTGTGGTTGTGCTCACCTTTAATAATAAAATTCATAATTAATTAAACAAATATTTTGTAATGAATTGAGCCGTGTCATGACAAAACCAACATAATGGGTTTGCGACCAGCATGGATCCAGACCAGCCTGCGCATCCGCGCGGTCTCATCAGGATCCATGCTGTTCGCTTACAATCCCTATTACAAGTAGAGAAACTGGGATCCTGATCAGACTGTGCTGGTCGCAAACCCATTATGTTGGTTTTGTCATGACACGGCTCAATTATGTTTTATTGCATAATTATATGCAGTTATATTTTATATTTTTTAATAATATCAAATTTTATGTTTCAACAGTATTAAATATTAACTATGCTTATAAAGCATATTCAAAAATAGTAAAGCAACACAGAATCAGTTATTCAAGTGTACAAGTGTTTAAGAATTGCTCTGTATAAGAATTAACTGACTGCTTTATGTGTGACACTATTTAATACTGGTTATGTATTTTTCAAGGAAAGATGTTGAATAGTTAAGTATAGAGATTTAAAAATATACCTTTTCAGGATTAATACTGCACATCATTATTAAACACCTGGCATCTCACAGTCAGCACTTAAGTCCCTGAGCAGCCTGCAAATTATGAGTGTAAAATGTAATTTTAGATTGTTCCATAGGAAAGACAACACAAACATGTAAAATAATAAATGATTATGATTACCCTGTTCAACTGTACAAAACTACTGATTGTACCATTTAGTCCTATTTAATCAAATTTATTTAATTTGTTTAATTTCCAGGAAATGCAAAAGATATACTTACATGCTATTTATACAATATAGATTTACACAATCATTATATTAACAAAAAAATCATTGAATAATTTTTAACTTGCAAATAATACATGTATTAAAGATTTAAAACAATTATCAGAAAAAAAAAACAAATGTATGAAGTTGAAAATACTAAAACAACAATGACCTCTTGTTACAAATTTTAGTTGGCTACTTTGTATTGATAGTGGTCATATAAAATTAATGTAACTAAAAGTTAATAATTACCTGATTATGTTATACATCTCCTTGTCCCATGTTATCATACCAATTACTTTAACACTTTGAGATCTTAAACAAAACTTTACTCCAAAATTGTTAAAATATCAAGTACATCCTCTGTAATGCTGACCCAGATATCTTAGAATTCAAAATTCACAACAGTTTACTGTATAATGGACCGGTCCATCATTATGTAAAACAGGGTTAATTTACTGACGTCATCTTAACTTTCATTCATTGAATGTAAAAGAAAAATCAAATAACAAATAGATATATATAAATTTTAAAAAACAATTACAAATTTTTGTACAAAAAAATTGCAATATGTCCTAGACAAATTCTACATATGCAATTTATAATGTTATCTCTCCCCAAAATAATTACATGGAACAGCCTGATCTGTTGGAATGACCAGTCATGCGTAGATGATGGGAAACTGCTGGTCAGGAGAGTTTTATCAGAGCTCTGATCTGTGTAGTGTAAAATCTGGGTGAATATAATCTCAGTGAGAATATACATTGTAGTATTTATTTACCTACGGTAAATAAAAGCAATTATTGGGCATATTGGTTGATCAATTTTATATAGATTAAAAGGGCATTATATATGAGATTATTTCATGCAGTTTATTTTTTTTATAACAAAATCATGAATTCTTAGAATTTAAAATGGCAAGCACACTTATAATCTTGTCCCGATGTGACTGCCCTATAAATTATTCTATAGTATATTCAAATTTAAAAAGCATTCTTATTTTAATGTTGCTATTAGATGATGTCCTAAAATCATATTTAAAAATTCATAATACAGTAAATGTATTATAATACAAGCTGTATGAAAAATCTTTATATTATAAACTTAAGCTTTTTGGAGGTGAATGTTTTCAAATTCTACACTAAGATTATTACAGTTGTTTTTCAGTACAAAAAATATAAATTAGTCTGACAATATATTATTAATGCCACATTTTTTATCTAAAAAGAAGGCCTATTTTAATGTCTAAGAAAAAAATAATATATTAATTCTAAAAATACACCTGTAATTATTGGTTCAGCAAAAAAAATAAGTACAGTAGGTAAAATTTCAACGTCTGAAAGTGCAAAAACAGGAGTACAATTATGATTTGGACATCTCATATGTGAAATTCTGTTCAAGAAAAATGTTTAAGTATAGAATTCCGCCCATAGTTAAGACTATTCCTACCGACAAAATTTCAAAGTTGAAAATTCTGTCCAAGATGAAATGTTTAAGTATAAATTCTGCTCAAAATAAAATTCCAGCCGGAATTTTTCTAGTTTTCCGCCCAGAAAAGTGAACAAAATATTTTTCTTGTGAGACAGAATGGCACGGATTTTGCGTTTCCGTCCCTGGTCCGCCCAGAAATCACTGATTCCGTGCCAATTCCGTGCCAATTCCGCCCAGAATCCGTGCCAAAATTTCGTACAGGTGTCTAATATGTAATTAATATTGAATTCCATGAGGCGCTTTAAGCAATTTCAACTATCAAACATTTTTTTTTTGGTTTGGGAGAGGATGAGGGTTTTAATTAAAGATAAAATGTGATATTTTGCTTACCAGTTACTGCATCCATTTTTTTCAACATAAAAATTAGACAGATCCAGATCATTCTCCAATATGTGCTCCATATTGCTGGCACACACTTTATGTCTTTGTATTATTCTGCCTAAAAACATACATGTACACATATATTAATTTTGTTGGGTGGCATAAATTATAATACAGTAGCAAGTCGGGACATGAGAGAATGAACTGTACAGGGACATTTGTTAATGTGTCCCCACATGATTTTGTAACAAGCAAAGAGAGAAATATTTTTTACAACAGATATGACATGCCTTCTGAGGTATGTCAAGTTTGGAGCTATTCTGAGTACAATTTAAGTTACAATACAAAGCAGTCAAAAGGAATTATTAATCCTTTTAAGTAATATTTGTCCCCGAGGATAATTAAATACATGTGAATTAAAGTTTTTCGACAATATATTGTATTAATGAGAAATAATTTATCTTAACACATATCATTAAACACAAATTAAATAAAATATATGAGCTCTAAGCCCTTATTGACTGTGAAATTATATGACAAATGAATTATAGAACATATCAAACAGTGTATTTTGTCATCAGTTTCATGCAATTAACATTTATGTGTGATCATCTGCAAAATGTTACAATGGAAATGTGTTACATCAAATTCAATACTTATTCATAAACTGCTCCCAAATATCATACAGAACAGGGATATTTTCTGCTGCAAATTCTTTGCTCTTCCATATGGAAATTATTAAAGCACCAAGCAGTTAGTAGTACTGTGCTTTCAAGTAAACAAAAGCTAAGTCAAGAGGGAAAACTGTTTGCTATATGATAAAAAAACTTGTGTTTACCTTAATCAAATTTTTGATGAAAAATCTTTTTATCGTCTAATATTAAAGTTGAAGTCATCCAAGAAGAGTAATTTTGAACATAAATGAGGTAGCCATTATCATAAGAATGAATACAAATGCATCTTTGCTCTGACTCTGTCAAAATATCTGTTACAATAAATACATGTTCTCTCTTCAACACAAAAATACTTGGACCTTCACACAGACACATGCTTAAATCCAATATGGCCTCTGACCTATTTTTTTTCTAGTCCTCATAATTAACATCAAATGCCTACTCTCTTATTAAACATTTCCCCACAACACAACAACTGAATAATTATCTCAGGGTTCATAAAATGAATATTGCTAGCTTTCAGTGATTTAAGACTTCAGGGATATGTTTAAATCATGTTCAAATAAAAAATATAAGAATTCTTTGTCCAGTACTTCTTAACACTACAATCAGAGACCAGAATAGGGTAATGTAATAAACAATGGGTCCTTCCGGGTATTTTTAAGTCTGAATGCAACAACAAATAATCCAAACAAAAAAAGCCAGTAACTGCATGAAGCGATTATAGCATAGGACTGTTAAAAAATTCTGCTTAAATAACAAACATATTATCTTTTTACTATCAGTTTACCTTAAAGGCCCATTATTCTTAAGAAATTCTATCACTTTTTTTTTCTAAAAAAAAAATATTTTTGGTAACTTGTTACAGTTACAAAAAAAAAACATTTGCAATATAATTGAACCACCTTTGCTTCTTTTGCTTTGTTGGCAATTGGTATAATGATAGTGTATGGAAGTCAAAATACTACTTTGTTTACTTTTTTGTTAGGTACATATAAAATGTACCTTTATGACACTTTACTGCACATTAAGCGCTACTAAAATTTGCTCAGCTGTTCAAAACTAAATCTAATATTAAAACATTATTAAACACATTTGACATTTCTAAAAAGAATAATATTAAATATGGATCTCTGAGGCATAATGTGCCTTTAAATATTTTAATAGTAAGGTTTTTAACTATCATTGAATGTCATAGAATTCTATATCTTACAAAGTTTGGTAAAAGCACTGCTTAATATTTAAGTTTCCCTCTAGAATTAACTAAGTGAGACCCCAAAATTATTGAATTCCCAAATGCTGCATAACTTTACTTTTTGATGTATAAATAATAAATCGTAATTGGCAAGATAATGTATTTTACAACATAAAAATATGTGACAAATAAAGCAGATGCAAATTCTTATGGACACTGAAATCTTAAATATTTTTCGAATGTAGACCTTAAACATTATTTATGTACATGTATCGGTAAAGGGTTAACTCGGCTCTATACTCGGCCTAGACCAACACTCAGCATGGGTCAACTCGGCGCCTTAATAAAAGTGTTTTAGGATATAGATTCATTAGATTGTTTAGTTAATATATAATTAATAAACATTTTAAGGAGTAATTAAATTGCTATAATTCAGAGGTACGATCACTATTAGAATAAATAGAAATTGCAAATGTTGGTTGTTGTTTGAAAATATCTTTAAGAAGAGATATTAAGACAAGATGTTTTATGTTTGATCCATGAATAAAGTTTTAAGATTAATTTTGTTATGTATAACACTTTTAGTTCCAAAGCAAAAAGTACATTGTTCCAATATGTAAGGAAGTAAAAACTAAAAGGAAGTAAAGGGATATTCAGGCAAATAAATAACAAAAATATCAAAATTTTCTTATGTACTAAAATCATGCTTAAATGACATTTGGTAAAGACCTAGCATGTCAGAATTTCTGTTTAAATTCATATTATATATCATATGCTTTGGGTTTGAAGCGTAAATATGTCTATCAAAATTAAGCCATCGGCATCGACAGAATCAGGAGTAGTTTTAAAACTAGTCATGTGACTTGAAAAAAACCCTGTAAGTTACAAGATATTGTGGATATTGTTATAAGATTGAAACAAACCTAAATCATTCATTTCATGTATTTTTTAACGTTACCAGAGTTCACTTTGACAACTAATGTGAAATCTTAACGCTCTAACCTGATCCGCGTGGGTCAAGTTAGGAAACCACCATTTTATTCTTGATTAGGAGAAAAGTTTTGTTCCTGTGACTGCCTATTGTTTTCATTTTCAACACATTTACAGATTAATGAATGAAAATTCAAAATGAAGCAATGAAAATTTAGCAAGTGTCTCCTTTAATAGCTGTTAATGACAACAAAACTTATGGAGAACTTTCTTCTTCCAAGACTTATGTTTTAATTGGCAGGTGTCTATAAATATTTGAAAGATCCAATTAACAACTGATTAGTAAACTGTTGATGAAGTGCATTGTTAATATAACTGATTTGATAGTGATGCCAAACTAAATAGACTCAAGGATCTTTCATTTTTTGCTGACATTTTGCCGTACTTTACATAGGAATTTTATATTATATAGTTTCATTATACTAGTGTTTATAGTAAGGTTTATAAATGATATATAAATTAAGCAATATATTTGTCACATAAATACAAAAATTCAGAGAAAAAAAACAAATGTAGCATATACTAAGAGCAATTAAAAGCAATCTCCTGACGATTTATCCTCGACAGGCTGTTACCCTAGGCATTTTACTGTTCTAGTAAAAAAAACAATGAAACTTTCTAATTATTTAAGCATTTTATAATCATAAAACTTTAAAAACATAAGATTTACTTTGATGTTTTTAAAATTTAAAAATGCTATTTTTTCTAAATTAACATTTGTGGAAACATTTTGACATAAACTGTGAGGGTGTCGACACTAGGCCAGGGTCAAATTTAGTCACCCGACAATAATACCTCTTTTTTAACGATGATGTTATGTCTTTGGTGCAGTTGAGTGATAAAGCTTTTCATTCTTGATGTAAAAATTGTCTGAACATATCCTCAAAGGCAAACAAAGGTTAATCAAGGTTAATGCATTGTGTGAATTTGATTTTGTGACCTACCATGTAATGTAGTAACAGGGTTATTTTTACTAACAAACAGACGCCTATAATCAGCGTCTTACCTTTGCAAAATAGCCAATTTCTACCCCAAAAGTCAATTCTTTCCTAAAACTTTTTGAAATTCTAAATTTTTATTGTGTAAAATATTAAATGTTTGCATTTTTGCCAATAAAACCAACCATTTGTAGTAAAAAAATAACCAAAACTTTTGCAGGAAACTGCAAGTAGTGTCTCAACATGGAAGCTGCCATTTTTTACTCGGCTAAATTCTGTACTGAACGGTACAATTTCCAGACATTAAATTGTATTAATATGTTATCATGTTCTTATTTTTTTTTTTATTCAAGTAAGAATTCAGTGCTTCTGAGACTGAAAAGAAATTGACTTAAATTGAGCTAAAGTCGGTATTAGATGTACATGTACTATTATACCTACATTTAATTCCATACAGACGGGTTGCAAGAAACCTTCACCACAATACATATAATTATGAAGTTCTTATTGCAAATTTGAAGATACTGGGACTTATGAAATTTTCTAATTATTTAAGCATTTTATAATCATAAAACTTTAAAAACATAAGATTTACTTTGATGTTTTAAAATTTTAAAATGCTATTTTTTCTAAATTAACATTTGTGGAAACATTTTGACATAAACTGTGAGGGTGTCGACACTAGGCCAGGGTCAAATTTAGTCACCCGACAATAATACCTCTTTTTTAACGATGATGTTATGTCTTTGGTGCAGTTGAGTGATAAAGCTTTTCATTCTTGATGTAAAAATTGTCTGAACATATCCTCAAAGGCAAACAAAGGTTAATCAAGGTTAATGCATTGTGTGAATTTGATTTTGTGACCTACAATGTAATGTAGTAACAGGGTTATTTTTACTAACAAACAGACGCCTATAGTCAGCGTCTTCCCCTTTGCAAAATAGCCAATTTCTACCCCAAAAGTCAATTCTTTCCTAAAACGTTTTGAAATTCTAAATTTTTATTGTGTAAAATATTAAATGTTTGCATTTTTGCCAATAAAACCAACCATTTGTAGTAAAAAAATAACCAAAACTTTTGCAGGAAACT